CCCTTTTTAGTTCACTTGACAGGGATCTTCTTAATATATATTTCTAAAGGAAAGATTTACAAAATATTCTCCAAATGAGTTGGCTGGTTCCACCTTCCGCACATAGTCAGGTAGTGACTAACTTTTGGAGGGTGTCCTTTTAGAGATTGTGGTCTAAGCTTACTCCCAAAAGTATCTCAAAGGTGCACAGCTGGCTGGCTGAGTAGAGGAATTTGAGACAATAACCATATTTTTCTTGTTTACCAAATATAGAAAGTAGTTTTTATAGCCACTTGGTGAATGAACAATGCCAGGCCTTACTTTATTAAAATTCTCTTTCCTTATAAAGTTACAGAAGAGAACAAATGCCTGGTAAGAGAGACAGTTGGCATCTTGTCAAATGGACTCAAGGATAGAAAGATGTAGCCTTTCCTTATGCGTTTTCCCTTGATGATTAAATCATTTCCCTTTTAATTCTTCTTTACCTCACCAAGCAAGATCTGCGGCTCCTGGGGAGTTTGTTTTGAAAGATCATCCCATACATCCCAGACTGACATGACTCCCTAACTCCAACACTGCATCGGAGCTGGAGCCCACCTTTCCTCCTTGGGTTGGAGGCTAGCATCTGAAAGATGGACATTTCTGTTGTTGAGTACAAGTGTGTAGTAGTCCCTTCCATGCTTGCTCCAGCAGAAACAATTATCTTGTTTTTGTAATTTCAATCTCCCATTTCGAACATTCACTGTTTTTCCCATGCCTTGCTTTGATTAAATTGGCAACCAGCAGTAGTGGTGCAGAGAAGGTTAAATTACTTCCCATCACTTCCTCTGCTGTCTTGTGTATCTATTCGTTTTTAAATCGGCCTGACCTCTCAAGCTATAGTCAGTCTGTTATCTGTTCTGTGTCCTAGATCACACACCGGCCTTAATTGTGTGCCAGAAGTAATTCTTCCCTCATTGATGTTTCCAACATGTTTCCTGCCTGCTGAAGTTGAATCTGTTAGCATTCAGTCACTCATAAAACTTTTAAAAGTTGAAATTCAAATTCAGTTCCCACAACTGTGAACCCAGAATCAGCTGCTTAGATATCTGCCCCACTTGCAACTTCTTCCCCCGTGGATATTTTTACATGTCACATTGAATGCAGGAGAACCAGTTTAAACTGGTCCTTCCTTTAAAATGTGGACAGCATGGATCTGAGCCAAATCCACTGTCAGGCTGCTAATAGGAGTTTTATTTTATTAGGAAGATGTGCCTCATGTCCCCTAGCAGCAGCACGGAGAAGATAGTTGATAGGACATAAAATGCCATGAGCTCCGTGATGGAAAGCATCTGCATGGCGGGCAGCTGCAAAGTCTGGAAGGGCCCCTGTGGGAGAGCCGCGATGCCGACTCGCCTTGGCTTCCTTGTCGTGGAGCTGAGGAAACGCTGGTGGTTTTCCAAGTCCAGGACTTCTCTGTGTGCTCCCACCTTCTGGAAGGACACTTTTAGAATGAGCTGGAATTGTGCTTTTATTTCTATTATGGACCATTGCCATGGTGGTGCATATTCCTTAGCAATCTCTTGGTAGATATTTGTGCTTTTAAAAATTATTTCCTTTTTTGGAAAGGCTGCAACAAATGGCACAGATGATCAGATACATTGAGTTATGATGGAAATCAGCTGTTTGCGAAAAAGCTGCCCAAACCCAAAGGAAGTCTGAGGCTTGCCGTTCCAAGTAGCAGAAATAATTGACTTAATTATAAGCAGACCTTTTAAAACAGGACTCTAAAATCACTGAGAACCCTTTCCCCTTCAAAGCCTCTCTCTCTCTCTCATACACACACACCCTTCTTTGTCTTGTGAGACAAACCTTTGGAGATGTGTTGCTGTCACTTTGCCCTGCATGTAGGACAAGGAAGACCAAGAGTACACTGTACAGTCACAAACGACAATGACGTGTGTTTGTTCGTTTTTAAAAGACTGAGTCCATTTATAAATTGTTCTAAAAATATTTTACTGGCCTGGCTGGGAGCTGAGAACAGAGAACTTGAGCTGGAACCTAGGAGGAGCAGATTCTCAGGCCCTTGGTCCCTCAAGCAATCTCACCTCCCTTCAAGTTAATTCCATGAACCATGGCGATGCTCGGAGCAAAGAAATCAAATTAGCCTTTTTGTTGTTATTAGTAATAGTATAACTAAATTTTCTCTGATATGCAGTATGCTAAGGGTTTATATTATGTTTCCATGGGAACTTTCTCTGTATGTCTTCTTTTTTTCACTATTTTCCCCAAGAATGCATTTAAAAGAGTAATATGAAATTTGGCAGCTAAGTGAAGTAACGGTTATGGGATTTCAGAGGATAGAGAATTGAATTAAGAGAAAAAGAATGGTTGTGCACATTTGTGTCCATAAGTTGTTCATGTCAATCAAAATAAGCCAATGCTTCTTGCTAGAAATGCATGCAGAAGGAGCTTCTCTTACACAGGGGAGAAAAAATGTCCTTCGGTGTCTTTCCAAGACTACAACTCTTTGTCTTTGTTTTATATATTATATATATATAATGTAGAAGAATACTTACAGGCACACTAATGCAAATGACCACCACGTTTGCATTGTAGAATCAGTGCGCCTGGGCTGTCTGGTGCAAGGTCTAGGCAATGCCAACTGCTACTCACGGTTTTAAGCCAGGAAAAAAAAAAAGTGAGGAGATGCTTACATCCTATTCTGACTTACAGCAAAGTTCCATCATTTGATCATTAAGTTTGTACACAGCAGATGGAACTGAAAGATACCTAATTTTGTTTTTCAAGGTCTCCTCTTTAGCATTAGATGCTGCAGAACCTGTACATAGCATGACCCTTGTCAGGGAGGACAGGCCTTCACCTGAGAGCCAGCTTGGAGCCCTAGCGGGTGTAACAGGACACTGATCATTAATCAAAAGCAGTTCCTTCAGATTCAGTGGTGTCCAGTTTTTGATTGTATAAGATACTGATCTTTAAAAATACATATACAATTCACAGTCTTTCTGTAGCAGGCTGCTGGACTTTCCCTGTGTTGAAGAGGAATCTTGTTTACAACAGTGGAACCTCGATAAGCAATTTAAATCACTTTCAACAGGGCAGGCCATTCTCTGTCAATTTCAAGGCATTATAACAGAGCATTCAATGATGACAGGTTCTGAGATGGCTGAGCCGGTTCTTTCTGATGCTTGGGGCTGCTCCCAGAGATTTGTAATTACAGAGCTAAAACACGCGTCTGGGTCCTGGGCTTCCTGTACATTCGTGTTCCATGCTAAAGTAAGCCTGGAGCCAAGGCCCTTCGGAAGTCCATGGTGTGTAGTGCATCGAGCCGAGTACATCCCATCTACTGTTAGGACCAAGTCTCCTCCCCGGAGTTGAAGTTGAAAGGAAGCTGAAGCTGGACGGCCCACACCTAGAACTGAAGGAAGAGTAGTAGTAAGAGGCTTCCGTTACCCTGTTTTCACGAAAGTCTTCATGGACGGTGTCGTGGTTTGCTTGATGTGGCTTTGGTGTTGTCTTCTGATCTGAGGCACTGCTTGTTCCCTGAGGTGCATGCCGTGCAGCTTGAGAGGGAGGGAGTGTGTGGAGAGAGCTAGCAGCAGGGAAGCTTCCAGAACAACAGCAAGTTCTCCTACCGGGCTGCAGGGTGCTGCTGTGGCTTCAGATAGACTGTCATCTGTACCCACACTGTGCATGTGTCATAGCCCTACCATTCTAGACTACTGAGCAACTTGTGACTCCTCAGTATTCGATGATCAGTCTTTGGGTTAATTTAAATACAACCGTTAGAGTTCTGCCCATCATAAAACACTTTTGAGTCACCCTGAAATAACCAGGAGCACTGAGCCAACACTGGACGTACAAAATACTTTGTATTAGTGAATTGTCTAATCAACTCTTTGAAATTATTTTTCTAGCTAAACCGAATATATCAGAGGCCACAACCATCGAACTGAACCTCCTCCCAGAAACCACATCACCCACTTTATCCAAAGAACCACAAACAGCAGTTGAGAGAACCACACCAAGCATCCCTTTAGTCACCGAGTTACCTATCCTTACAACCAAATCCCCTCCTGTGGGAAAAATAGTCACTTCTGAACAGAAATCCACAACCCAACCTCAGGCAGTAACTGACAGATTAGCCACTGGGCCACCCACACTTGGTGGGGGTACCCAGGAGCCTTGGGAAACGGCTTCAGGTGCCCTGGGAAAGCCAGACATATCTGACATGGAAGAAGTGCTTCTGAGCACACGTGCCATTGCCTCGCACACAACAGACTCGGGGGCTGCTGTGCTGGAAGACACACAGACCCAGGAAGTGGTCACACAGATGGAGCAAATAGAAGTGGGTCCCTTGGTAACGTCTATGGGAAACTCAAAGCATGCGCCTGCCAAGGAATGGTCTGGAAGGGAAACACCTTTTGTATCTGCAAGAACGACCATGGGATCCAGAATCGAAGAGAAAGCTGAGAGCATGCCTTCTGAACCAATGACCACAAATCACCACGGATTGAGCTTGGGGCAAGACAGTGGGGAAGACGGAACACTTACATTGAGGTCTGGTCAGAGCACCTTGGTCATTAGCCAGGTACCTGAAGTCATTACAGTGTCAAAGACCTTGGAGGGCACCACCCACACTCAGTACAAGGACTCAGTCTCAGCCCCTACCACTGTCGCACCTGTGCCTAAGCCTGACAGTGATGAATCATCCGCAGATGAATGGGAAGAGAAGCAAACGAACAGCGAAGATGCCATTGGCCCGTATCTGTCTACTCCACCTTTTCCAGCACAGCCTCATGCAGAAGCAGAATTATTTCCTTACTCCAATGATAAAACAACAGAGGGAATAGCCACAGGGGTCTATTCTCCTTCGTACACACAAGTAACCCAAGGAAGAGAAAGAACAGAAACACCGAGTCCAGAGAAAACAGACACCGGGATGCAAGAGGAGACCACCGAAGAGCCACAGATGGGAAAATCAGAGGGAGACAGCTTCTCTGGAATGAAGCTCTCCACATCTTCCGATTCCCCAGCATCAAGTGCAGAACCCACAGAAAAGGGAGGTGTAGAGGAAGATTTTACGAAACCTGGGGTTGGATCACAAGCTACGACAAGGCGCGATGAGGTTTTCACCACGGGGCACATGACCGACAGTACTTTCCATGTGGAGGTAGTTACTGTGTCAAAGTGGTCACGGCATGAGGTAGAGCCCACAGCACATACCGATTCCCCAACCACGGGGGTAAGCAGAAAGGAAGAAGAAACGTCGAGTTTCATTGAAAATGGAGACAAAGTCACTCCTCTTGAGGAAAGTTCTCAAAAACCATCAGAGAAAGCTATTGGGGAGGATGTAACAGATCCTGGGGAATTCACAGTGCAGTTTCAGCCAACTGCAGCCACCGGTATTATGGAAAAGCCAACCTTCACAGGTGCTTCACCCACCAAAAGAGTCCCATCTATCACAAGCACAGAGGGCCCACTCGTTTCTGCAACTATGGAAGGAAGTGCTTTGGGTGAAGGAGAAGAGGTGGACCTGCCTACGCCAGTGTCCACTATCGTGCAGTTTGCACACACTTCAGATGGGCGAGGATTGGCATTTGTTAATTATAGTAGCACCCAACAGCCCACTCCTCATGTAGACACTTCCCATACTGTTCCTCTCTCTGTAATCCCTGAGTTAGTGTCTTCTGCGCCCTCAGAAGATGAAATTCCAGGTGAATCCTCTCAAGACAAAAGTGTCATTGATCAGACTCACCTTGAAACAGCTGCTTCTCCAGAAACAATGAGAACAACAACAGAAATCACACAGGGGACCACTCAGGAAGAATTCCTTGGCAAAGAACAAACAGGAAAACAAGTTCCTGCCCTCAGTTCTACAGCAGGTGCACCAGTGTTGGCAACAAGTATCTGGGATGAACAAGAAGGTGATGGATCGGCATATACAATCCCTGGAGATAGGTTGGTGACCACTTTGGGGAGGGTGCCAATTTTAGAAACAACTCCGATTGTAAAAATCGAGCATGATGCGTCCCACCTCCCGGATGCCATCACTGAGCACAGGGCAAAAACAGATGAAGTGGTCACTCTGATACCAAGGATTGGACCCAAAGTATCTCTAAGTCCGGAACCTGAACAGAAGTACGAGACAGAAGGTAGTAGTGCAACAGAATTTGTATCACCTTTGAGTCCATTTAGCACCAGTGTTTCCCAATTTATAGAGGAAACCACTACTGGGAAAAGAGTTGAAACATCTCTAGATTATACTGATGTAGGTTCAGGATTATTTGAAATGCCTAAAGCCACAGAGCTTCCAGGATTGTCAACCATTAAAGCCATGATTCCAAGTGATACCACTGCCATGTATGGGTCAGTAGATGGACTTCCCACAACAGCAGTGTTTGAGCCGTCTTCAACACCCACTGAGAAACTTCTCGTTGACAGAGGGCCTGGGGAAGAGACAACCGGTGGCTTGGTGATCATTGAAGAATCAACATCCCATGTTCTTCCCACTATCCCCAGTGATATTGTAGCCAAGGACCCAGAAAGCGATATTGGTAGAGAGTATTTCACGACTTCCAGCACTCCTCTGGCCACACAGCCTCCAAGACCACCAACTGTGGAAAGCAAAGAGGCCTCCAGACCCTGGGAGCTCTCCACCCCACCACCCCCACCGGGGACAAAATTCCACCCTGACATAAATGTTTTTATTATTGAGGTCAGAGAAAACAAGACAGGTAAGTCTTTGCTTTCTCGCCACCCCATTGGAGGCACTCAGCATTTATCTTTAAAGTTACTTTGGGGGAGAAAAATGAACCTACCAAATGCTGCCATTAAAAGATAACTGGAGTGTGGAAAATAAACTTGTAGTTTCATAAGTTTGTATAGGCATGGGACAAATATGTACACAATTTGGAGAATGTTAGATATGATTTTATGTTGAACGTCATAAGAGGCCCTGCTTTGTCATCTAATATAACCAAATCATCGCTGTTACATCACTTCCAAACATGCAGAATTAAGCATTTTAATTTCAGTGTCTTTCCATACATTACTACTCAAGTGTAGCACTAGCCTGTGTTAACATTCCATCGGTCTTTAACTATTAACCCTTGGTACTTGCAATGTGGACTCTTCAGATGATTTTGTATAAAGCCCTAGGGTTGATAGGAAGACTTCTAAAGGTTTGTTTGGCTTCTGTCTTCCAGGATTTTGTAGGTTTGTTACAGGACTTCAGTGAGCAATGGATGTGTTGGTTAACTGTAATTTTAATGCAAATTCCATATATTTTTAAACTGTTGTTTTAGAAGTTTCTTAACCGGGTTTAACCATCCAGAAGTCAAAAAGTCTATCTCAGTTGTAGGCATTGCTATAATTTATTGTATTATTATGTAAGTATAGAAGTGGCAATGTTAGCATTATGCTTGTTTCCTATAAAAACAGGCAATAATGTTGTTTATGTTATGATTTAATTGCTTTACCTGGGAGAAATATTTACAATTCCCTCAACTGCGTGCAAATATTCTAATTCTTTAGCAGGGTTCTTAAAAGTTGTTTCTTTCTATTGAATAATACCTTCCATGTTCCTTATCAAACATGATTTATTTTGCCTGAAGGTGAGACCACACTATCCTTTGAATTGGGTAAGCTGAGTTGAGACTACTTAGTACATATGAACCAACCAGCACATTATCTTCTTTTAGTTTTAAAGTTAAGATCATGGATTTTAGTGAGCTGTGGGACTTTAAACTTAACATGAATAAACATTCACCTTTCCTTGTCCTAGCTCTGAGAAGCTGGACCCGGAGACTAGCTTTCCTATTGGAGCTTCTCGCTCTCTCTTACTGTCAAAATCTCCCCCCACCCCTCAGCATACCATTTTTCCAGAAAATACTAATATCCTCATTAGCATCCCTGGGACCGTGCCTGTTAGCAGCAAATGGGTAGCTATTCGTCAGGTCAGCAGCTGGTACTATAGCTGTGCACTGCGTGGCTTCTTCACTCTCCAGAATTTTCTTGGTGTTCAGTCTTGTGCATGGCAGTCGATACCAGAGGACACATCTTCACTTTCTAATAACAGCTGAAAGAGGCCAGGATTGGACCGTGGCTCTTTGGGAAGCCATAATGTATTTCCTCTCTTGTGTGTTACTCTTCTGTCTCTCAGAGTTGGAACAGGAAATAAATTGCCACCAAGACTTAAACGGAGAGTTAAAAAAAATACTTGAGCAATTCCACTATGCAGACATTTTTCTCAGTTTTTAATATCTTATTATTAGCATAGAGACTGTGTTTGATGAAATATTATAAAACACAGTAAAAAAAAAAAACTTCTGAATTGGAGATTGGAAATTCAGGTTAGGGTAATCCAGTTACAACGTGGAAAGAGGCTTTCTCTTCAGTAGAATTATCAGCCATTGGGGAAATAAGAACTAAGTTGATAAATGGTCACTCAGAGTGGAGGGACAACCCTTGCAGAGATGCAGGTTTATATGTGAGCTGGGCACTTAATCCAGCTGGCCTTGCAGGGCACACATGGGTGTTTTGTCTAGCTTCTGCTTTTAGAACATGAGGCCACGATGTACCTCCAACCTAATTCTGTTTTGAGTCGATAATCATAGGTCAGGGAGCTGTGGAATAATTGCTGGTCCTCGGTAGGCAGGATTCGTGCGTGCGTTCGGGCATCTGTCCATGGAGTAATTTTTGCCCCTCTCACAGTCCTCTCTGTTGTGGCTTCTGTTCATGTGTCCTCTGTGAGACTGAAAGCAGTTACTGCTTTTATGATAATGTGTTCGGATCCAACTGCTTACTTAACACTAATTTTGTTTTCTCTGAGAAATTTAATTTTCCAACATTTTGAACATTGGCAAAGGAAATCCTGAAAGCAACCATTCAATTAATGAATTGTAAGGCAGGTGTATACATTAATAAGGGAAAGGGCCTGTGTGCTTGGAGAACCAACCCTTTTTTGCATGAAGGCAAGATTTGCCAGACTGGAAAATCCTGCACACTTGTGTAAGTCTATTCACAAAAAACAGAATTGGGCTTTACGTGCATTGTGTATCCAAGTAAGCAGAAATGCCACCCGTACGACATTGAAACAAGGCATTCCTAATTTTTTGCTGTACTCAGCAAGTCATATAAATCTTGACTTTTTTTTTTTTTTTACTGCAATGAAACAAAACGTCCTTCTCAGAACATGCATGTCTTGTGTTTGCTCTAATGGATCTTAATAGCAAGTTAGGCTGTCATTGCTAGAAGGCAACTGTAGTTAGCAGTTTAAAAAAAGTAAAGGAACTTTTCAGCTCATAAAACTTTTATGAGCTGAAAAATGCTATGGGGTGTGTTGAACAGTGTTTCACAGGGTGCTGGGAACTGGACTCATTTCGGGAGTAATTTGCACACCTGCATCTGGAAAAATTATTGAAAGGTTTTCTTTGTGAGAAGTATGCAGGCTATCAGATTTGGAAATGTTAGAGGCTTTTTCTCCATTTTAGAATTATTTTTTAAAAACCATGTCTCTAAATCATTTGAAATTTTAAGAATTAGTGTGACAGAACTGCAAAATTAAATGCTAACATTGGTGTTGTGAAATGTTTATAATCATAATCTTAAGATATCTCATTAGATTTTTTTATATATAAATAAGTTCACATGTGGTACCGTGTATCAGGCATTCTTGGTGTTGTCTTCCTTGAAGTTCTTTTTGCTGTTTTTATTATTTCTATCTATTCACATTCAAGTCTAAGGCAAGTAGAAAGCCAATGTCTAACTAAAATGATGTAAAATTAAGGTGCTGATGACATTATTAATATAACATTAAAGATTTTGAATAAGGTTGTATAAGACATAAGTAAGATTTTAAGACAGATCATTTTTGACCTCCAAGTTAGAACCCTTTTGCTTGGTTTCTTCATTGAGAACTTTGTATGTGATTGTTCACAGCTTTCAGAAATCATACCCGTCTGATTCATTTGTTGTGCAGTTCTGTTTGTGCATTACAGAAATGTACTTGGAGCCAGAGATTTATTGTCTAAATATTATGGTGTATTGGAGAGGGTCAAGAATCAGGGACACTGACTCTGAGAGAAGAGATTACCAGCCAAGTGCCAGTGTTTAAATCACTGATTGCGCAGTCATCACTTTTTACAAGATAAAGTTTACAGAAGATAGTCTCAGAGCAGTTGTGAAATTGCTTACTTCTTCAGCATTTTCTAATTATGCAGAAAAATTGCTGTCAGCTTGTCCAGCACAGATCCCATCCCATTCCTCCCACGAAGTCTTCCGGCGTGCTTCCGCTTTGTGGCCAGCTGGAAGCACAGTGACATAGTATCTGGGGCCATTGGGAGCCTTCCAGAGGGCCCCCCCCCCTCTCCACCCCCGTCTCCTGCGACAGTCCCCAAAGCCACACACTTCTGAGGACACAGCTGGCAGGGGGATGGCCTCACCTAGATCACTCAGAGTATTCCAAAATAATTATTCATTCCTGAAGGCATTATCAAGATCTTTATCTGCTACGCAGCTGTTTTCATTTACCTTTGAATGATTCTGTTGTGTGGAATACAATAAATGAAGCAGTTTCTCTCTAATTGATGTGGATATCTCAAGATCAGACATAGCCACAATTCCAAGTGTCCTGTGCAGGTGCAAGAATCATGCGTGGACATCTGTCCTTTCATACCCCTTTTCCCATATTTCTTCCCTTTGAACCCTGACTACATGGGCGCACCGGCCTGCTAGGTCTCATGCTCAGGGAATTGAGTCTCACTGCTAACCTTGAAGTGATTCTTGCCCAGGATGATGAGCTCACAGGAACAGTGACCCACTCTGTGGTAGCTTACGTGCTGCCCTGTCCTTCACTTCCTGGAGTCACATAAGCTCTGCAAAGACTGGCTCCTCCATGGCCTTCTATTGATTTGTTAAGAGCATGGACTTTTGATACCTGCCATGGCCGCAGAGCAGCACGCTGGCATCTGTGCTTGCTATGCCAGCCTTTCAGGCTGCTGCTTGCCTGCAGAATTTTGGAGCAAACCCTAGAAGTGGGTGGAGCTAGTGCCTCACCTGTAAGTGGTCCCTTTGTGGACTCCAGCCATGGCCTCACTACCAGAGAGACATTCTTGACTCTGCAGGAAGCGGCACTGGCTTCTCCCATCCCTTGCCTGCTTTGCAATACCCAGAGAATCCACTTCCAGTGCTCAGTGGACCAAAGAAAAAAAAATATATAGCTTATTTTCCTTTCTGTAATGTGAAGAAAAAACCCTGATCTCACTGTTTGTGGATTATTACTGAGCTTAGCACTGTGTTAGTGCCCAGAGGCTGGCTTCTTCAGAGGTCCTTATCAGTGAAACATTTTGTGATAGCAGCATGTTCCTGAAGACACAGACACATGCTTTCACACACATGTAGAATCTAAGCTTTTTAAGTGGCTGTGAATAGTCTCATTAACCTGTTGACTTCAGTGAACAACATTAAGACATTGAAAAGCTTTTCCAAAAGTGGAAGTGTTACAATGAAAGAGAGCCACATTGACTTGTCTACTTCATAAAATAAACCAATACTGATTCTTTCTGGCAATCGCCCTTGTTACAACTTGTCACAATCAAAACTGCTGAAGGAAAGGCGCAGACCAAGGACACACACCACTGACTGCTATGACATTTAGCTCGAGAGAGGGACGCACACAGCCAATCCAGAATTGTCTCCAGGTAAATTACAGCCTGCTGCAGCTGTTACAGTGCTA